ACAGGGAACGGGGCAGGGACCGGGAACGGGGCAGGGACAGGGAACGGGGCAGGGACCGGGAATGGGAACGGGGCAGGGACCGGAAACGGGGCAGGAACAGGGAACGGGGCAGGAACAGGGAACGGGGCAGGGACCGGGAACGGGGCAGGGACACGGAACGGGGCAGGGACCGGGAATGGGGCAGGGACCGGGAACGGGGCAGGGACCTGGAATGGGGCAGGGACACGGAACGGGGCAGGGACACGGAACGGGGCAGGGACACGGAACGGGGCAGGGACCGGGAACGGGGCAGGGACCGGGAACGGGGCAGGGACTGGGAACGGGGCAGGGACCGGGAACGGGGCAGGGACCGGGAAGGTGCCAGCGCTGCCCGCCGGCAGGGCGGTTTTCCGTGCCCGGGGGCACGTCCAACCCACGCGCTCGGCACCCACAGCCGCCCTTCCCTGTCCCGCCGGGCGCCCTGCAGCCCCTGCTGCCGCCTTCCCGGCCCCTCTCCATGGTGGGCATCTCTGGCCAGCGGGGTCCGGGCGGCAGCACCGCTGCCCCCTCTGCACCCCCTGCCTTGCCGGGTTATGGGGGCCCTGCAGCCCACAGGCGGTCCTGGACCCCACAGCCCGCCCCACAGCTGGTCCTGGACCCCATAGCCCATCCCAGAGCCGTCCTGGACCCTATAGCCCACCTTATAGCCAGTCCCGGACCCCTCAGCCCATCCCATAGCTGGTCCTAGATCCCATACCCGGTGCCAGCCTCAGATCCAGGCTCATAGCTGGTCCTGGACCCCACAGCCAGACCCACAAGCAATCCCAGCCCTAGCCCCATACTGCCCAGCCCCTATAGCCACTCCCACACCCCACAGCCTATCCCATAGGTGGCTCTGCACCCCACAGCTCACCCCATAGCCCAGCCCGGAGCCCAGCCTAGTCCAGTCCCACTCCCAGACCCTACATCTGCTCCCAGACTCTATAGGCTACCCCATCCCCTATAGCCAGCATCACCCGCATAACGAACACCGGCGCCCTATAGGTGGCACGGGCCCCTATAGTCGGCTCCGGCCCCTATAGCCCCCCTGTGCACCCCTGGCCCCAGGGCCGCTGCCTGCATCCCGCTCCGGCCCCGCGCGCTCCCGCTCCGGGTCCTACCTGGTACCGCTACCCGCCCCCGCCGGGACCCGCTCCGGCCCCGCGCGCTCCCGCTCCGGGCCGTACCTGCCGCCGCCGGCCCCGCTCCGGCCGCGCCAGCGCGCATGC